TGTATGGCTCGATCATGTCACCTTTGTTGAAAGGGGGGGGGGGGGCGAGCCGTGGAGTCGGCGTCCAGCGGGTCGGCGCCCGTGCGGCCGGCGTTGAGGATGACGCCGTAGTCCTTGATCCAGCGCGAGTGGAAGCCAAAGTGGTCCATCGTGGGCGAGAGGATGGACGCGCCGCCGCGCGAAAAGACGCCGTACGAGGTGAGGTGGCCGGAGATGTGGTTCTCGCGGCAGGGGGAGACGATCGAGCCCCAAGTCTCTTCCGAGATGGCGAACGGCAGCGCGCCGAGAGCCGCGCCCGAGCCGGAGCCGCACGACGAGCCTCCTCCGTTGCCGGTGAGGTAGGGGGACATGCACTGGCCCCATCCGTGGATCGGCCTGTGGCGGAGCAGGGGGCGAAGGCGTGGAGGGGACGGGGTTGGTGGAGACGGCAGCGGCAACAGCGGTGTGGCGGATGCGACGGGGGTGGAGTGGCAGGGGAAGGGGGCGGCGGCGACGGAGGGTGGCGGCGGCGACGGACCCGTTCGCCCAAGCGCCCATCTGCATCTTGGCGATGGGGATGGCGCCCGCCTTCTCGAGCGCGGCCATCAGAGAGGACTTGAGCGGCTTGACGCGCGCGCCGTACAGGATGTGCCCGTCGGCCGTCACCTCATCGTCTGTGGAGAGCGAAAGTGGGTGAGCTAAGGGATGGGGCGGGGGGGGGGGGGGGGGATTGCGTGGGGAGGAGGGAGGCGGCGGAGGCGGCAGCGGCGGCGGCGGCGGCGGCTGAGTAGGAGAGGGCGCGCCAATCTGGTGGTGGTCCTTCATGCCGAACGGGATGCACATGAGCGGGCCGAGGTAGGTAGAGTTTGCGATCATGGCGTCGTACGCGAGAGCCTTGGCGCGCGCGGTCTCGGTGAGCAGGAGCGAGGTGATGGCCAGGTAGGGCTCGAACTCCACGAGGCGAGCCGTGAAGTAATCAACGACGTGAACGCACGAGACCACTTTTGCCTTGATGAGGGCCGCCATGTCGAGAATCGGCATGTATTTCAGGCTGTATTCGGGTGCGGTCAGCTCGCTGGGCGCCGGCAATTCAAAAGTCACGTCCTCGGGCTTGTTGGATGTGGTTGGGAGTTGGAAGACGTTGCCCTGTGAGCAGCAGAGGCAGCGAACTGTTGTGATGGTGCTGTGTGGACACCGCTGTCCTTGAACGATATCGGTGTCGAAACACCGCTCTGACAGCGCTCAACAGCTACGGAGGGCAACGGGCTTTGGTCGGAGCCCGCCTGCATGTACTTCACCATGGTGAGCGAGTCGACCGTCTGCATGGTGAAGATCTCGGGGTCGAATTTGTCCTTGTAGGAGTCCATCCACTTGAGCCCGCTGGCAAAGTACGTGTTGAAGATGTTGCTCTTGTCCTCGGGCAGAGTCGTGTCGTTGTACAGGTAGAGGGTCTGCTGCTCGACCATCGTCGCCTGCTCCGCTTCGCTGAGGTCGTTCTCCGAGTAGCACACGGGGAGCGGTGCGGAAGGAGGCGATGGCGGCGAGGCCGTCGTGGCAAAGGCGCGTACGCCTGGGAGAAGCGAGACCAGCAGAAGAGCAGGCTTGAGCAGCATGCTTTGGACGGGGGTGCAACAGGAGGGGGGTGCAGAACAGACAAGCGGCGAACGATCGGCGCTCCTGTCACGATCCCAGAAGAAGAATTTTACAACGACTCCCTCGCACAACACTGGGCACAGGACTGGGCACGGGACTGGCGCGCACTGGCACTAACACAGGTACACCACTGGAGCCGCCTAAGCGACTCCGGCGAGGACGGCGAGGCACTTAGCTCCGTGCACTCGACCGCCCTCGCCGTTGGCAAGCTCATTCACAATCTGCTCTGCGATGGCCGTGTGAAGAACGACTGAGATGCGCTGCTTCTGCAGCCCCAGCCAGCTCTTGCGTTGGTGGTCCAAGTCACCTCATCGAGGTACTGGGCCCGCGTCAGCTTGTTCTGTAGCACGTTCGCCGCGTCCCAGAGGATCTCGCCGACCCCCTTCCCGAACCCGCCGAACGACTCGAACAACAGCAGCCGCACGTCAACACCCTTGTCCTCCCTGGCGTAGCGATACTCGCCACCATAGGACGGGATGCGGCGATCGCCGCCCACCACCCTGCCCCCCCTAGTATGCCACCGACCTCCCCTGCCCAGCCGCGGCGCCACGAGTGGCACGTCCCCTTGACGGCGTGCTCCTTGGTCGGCAGGTGGGCGAGGATGTGTGGGGCGAGGTCCGGCGAGAGGAGGACCTCGGAGAGCACCCACTCGGGCTGCTCCACGAGCCGAGCGGCGTGCTCCTCCGCCACGCGCAGCGCGGCGGCGCTCGCGCCCGCCTGCGCCTCGATGATGGCGCACAGCTGCGCTGGCGAGAGGCCCGCGACGCGCGCGCCGATGCGGTGGGAGGCCATCAGGAGGAGAGCCGGAGGCGAGTACCCGGGTAGCGGATTTAAAGGGGAGCACCGTGGGGAGTTTCCGATAATAAATAAACAAAAAGTCACGAAATCCAAAACCAAAACCCAAACATAGGAACCCAAACACACAAGCAGCCCAAGAGGATACGTCATACGAGAGCAGGAGGTGAAAGGAGGTCACCGGCCTCTCTCGCCGCGCGCCTGTGGCACCGTGCTCTCTCGCCTCACTACGACCGCCTAGATGGTGCCGACGGCTGCCTTCCACGCCCGGTGCTCCTCAGTGTTGAGGTCGAAGGTCAGCTTGAAGTCAGTCGGATCGGGCTTGTGGGGGGGCGGATCTGCTCGTAGCCTGCCTCCTCGCCGCCGAGGCGATCAGCCTCCTCGCAGGTGAGTGAGGCAGAGCGCACAGCCTGGTTGCGCATCGAGCCACTCTTTCGACTTGTGCTTGTTGTCAAGCGCCAGCCGCCACCGCTTCTCGAGCGCGATCGCCATCGGGTTGCTCGCGTGCCTCCCCTTCCAGTGCGAGTACAGCTGCGACACGGCGCTCACGCCATTGAGCACGCGGTGGCTCTTCTTGCACGAGTCGAAGGGGCAGATGAGGACCACGGGGCTCGGGTGGTAGTCGGCGTTGCCCATCACCTTCTCCGTGAGGCCACGGCCCTCAAAATACTTGGCCAGGTACTCTGGCTCCGACCGCATGATGTCGCTCGATGCGGGCTTCCACGAGCCGGTCACGTAGCTGCGCGTCGAGGCCGTCATGCCGTAGATGGAGCTTTTGAGCTCGTCGAGCTTGGTGGTGGAGGCCTCCTTCTTGCGCGTGCGCGGCTTGGACTTGGCCTTGAGCTTCTTGCCCACGTCCACAGCGCAGACCTCGACCTCGACCGTGACCTCCGTCTCGTCCACAAGCAGCTGGCCCAGCCGCTCGATCTGAAAGCGCGCGGTGGACAGCGTGGGCTGGTCGCGGACCTTGAAGAAGAGCGCCTGCTTGCCGCTGAACAGCACCTTGCCCTGCAGGCCGATCTTGACAGAGGTGGGAATCTCGAACGACTCGCGCAGGTACGGCTCGAGGCGGCCCCAATCCTCGGCCGTGACGATGGAGTCCACTCGCAGCTCCGGGGGGCAGCTTGCGAGCAGCGTCACGTCGAAGGTGTCCTCATCGATCGGGTCGTCCTGCTTGATCAGGAAGCGCCACTGGAGCAGGCCCGCCTTGGCGGTGGCCGCCGTCTGCACGCGGGCCGCCTTCTTTGCGGCCTTCCTCTGCTCCCGCTTGAGCTCGCGCTCCTCGCGATCATCGCGTTCGCGCTGCATGCGCTCCTCGGACCTCGCGCTCCGCCGAATCCTCCGAGGACGAGGAGGAGGAGGAAAGGCTGCGGTCGCGGCCGCGGTCGCAGGGGGTCGCGGCTGCGGCTGCGGCTGCGGCTGCGACCCATATACAGAGCTGGCGGGAAGCGTCTACGAGATGCGCGCCTAGGACTCCCTCGACTGCAGGGGGGCTCCGGCGCGGGGAGGGACTCCGCCTGCTGCGCTGGCCGACTGCGCCCTCCTCCTCCATGGGCTCGATCCGATTCCGCAGCGGCGGTGCTGCGCGGGAGGCGGCCGCGGGCACGCTGGGCTCGATCAGGAGCTTTCCCTCAGTTGCTCCGAAAGCACGGATTTGGCGGACGTTCTTGGCTCAATTTTACGATGTCTTGGCACCAGCTGAAGGCTTGGGTCCGACATCGCCGGATTCGTGCACGGTATTCGGATTTTGGCTATTTGCTCGTGTGGGGGTATATCGCAGATTTGTCAATATACCTACTGTCAATGGTACCGCGTCTGCGACGCGGGCGCCTTGCTTGCGGGCAGAGCCCTTAGCCACCCTTTTATCTTGCGCGGTCAAAATTGTGTGCGCGCGGCATGCCGTCCTCCCATCCCTCCCTTGGGTTGTCTGTTTTCTTTCTTCTTTCCTTTAACATCGAAGGCTAGCCGGGAGGTCTGCAGCGGTCACCCTGACTGAGGGGGCAGCATGTTGCGTAAGACCGTAGACCGTCTCTGGCGTCTGGGGAGGGGGGGGGGGGGGGGCATCAGGTTTCGTGCCTTATATCTCGACTCGAGGTAATTCGTGCACCGCTCTGCTCTTGTGAGTGTGAGTGTGACGTCTCTCGTGCGTGTGACAGCCCGTGTGTGTGAGCGGGCTGCGCGAGGGGCGAGGCACGGCGTCACGGGCGACACGGCGCTCGGCGGGTCGCCTCTCGGCGCTGCTCTCACTTGGAAGGCTGCGGCGCCTCGCAGCGCCAACGCCTCAACCTTCTTCGGCAGCCTGAGTTGAGAAGGTAAGGGGAAAAAGTGAAGTTTCACACAGAAAATAAAAAAGAAATCCGTGTTGCAAGCGCGTGCCGGCTCAGGTTGGCTCCCCGCTTGGCTCCGCACACGCGCTGCTCGCCGCGCGAGTTCGTGCCCCCCGCACGGGGCTAAGCCCGCGGTGACTCTCGGAAGCTGCGCTCCCGAGCCACCGGCTCATGTGAACGCTCGCGCAGCATGCTCCTCGTGCTACACAGTTGTACGACGCAGTCGCATCGCTCTTCGCCCGCCTTCTCCCTCGCCCGACGTTTGCGGACACGAGCCCCCTCCCCCCCCCAGGCGCCATGGCTGACGAGAGCAACAAGATGGAGTCGGTTCAGACGTTCGGGCGCAAGAAGACGGCTGTCGCCGTCGCGTACTGCAAAAAGGGGCGTGGTCTGATGAAGATCAATGGCGTGCCGATCGAGCTTGTCAAGCCAGAGGTGCTGAAGCTCAAGGTGTACGAGCCCATCCTGCTGCTGGGCAGCGAGCGCTTTGCCGGCGTCGACATTCGGATCCGCGTCAAGGGCGGCGGCTACACGTCGCAGATCTACGGTGCGCTGCCCGCCGCCGCTGGAAGAGGGGTGGCAAGGGCGGGGCGTCGAGGCGCGGGTTGGCGGAACCGATGGCCTGGTCGGGCACCGCAAACGTGGGCGGGCGGGGAGCTCGCCGCCTTTCCCCCTAGCCTGGCTCCGTGTGCGTGGCCAGGACGCCTGCCTCTCCCCCCACCTCCCCGGCGGCATCCCCCCCCCCCCCCCCCCGCGGCGGGGGGCCCCCCCCCCACGCGGCCGGGGTTTTTTTTGGCTGTTGCTCCCTCTCCCCCTGGTCGTGGGGTCGGCTGCACATAACCCATCTAGTTGCCAAACGGAGGCTGAAGGCG